TTCTGAGTTTCTTGTTCTCCTCGGCAGCCAACTTTCCAATTGGCAATAAAGCATGCGAAACCAATAGCATTACCTCTTCCATTTTTTGTTTCGTTATTTGTTGACCACAAACTGTTGATTACCAGGCCGAGATACTGGCCTTTTCACGCGCCCTCCAACCGCAGAGAGCCAGCCAGACACAATGGGGCTTCGGAGGCGTTGTAAGAATGCCCAAAAAAGGTATCGGCCTTTTGGCCACAGATACCAGAGTTCGGGAAACCGGGCTAGGATGCAGGGGCCTGCACTTGAGCGCCTAACGGTAGTTCCAGCTAACGAGCTAACGTAAATTAAGATCGCTTGTTCTGTACTTTCCCGCTCTTCTCGGCTCCTGGCATCGTCTTTCGTGGAACAAAAACCAAATGTGCTCGGCGGCAAAAAATAGCCAGAAGTAAACAAAAGATTCAGCCAGAAACAACAGAGCGCACTGAAGAGTTTGGTTGCGGAGGGTTGGGGAAGGTGCTCCTCTCGACTTACTCGTGTTTTCCCAAAAACGGAGAGGCGAAGACCTCAGACTTCAGCCATCGGACTGCACTCAACGCCAACGCACCGGGTACGTGGATGCAGATCCCCCGACCCAGTTTTCCACAACCACATCCACATCACATCCACAACCACATCTGCATCGAACTGCAACTCCAGATACACACGCATCTGCGGAGTTTCCAGACTCATTTGCATGTGGGCAGTGGGTCAGTGACTGGCGGGAAATCTATCTATCAGTCAGCCCAGTCGACGTTCTGATGCCTGGTGGGCAGTTGGCGGAGTTCTCCTCGGATGGATGTGGCTTTTGTCTAGTCACCAGGCCAGATGCCCCCGCCCCTCCGATCGATGGAAAAACAAATCGCAGTTTCCCCACCCACAGCGCCTTTTCCCGTCTGCTGAGTTCCACAAAAGTCTTCATCGGACTTCTTCGCCGCAACCGTAATAAAGAACTACACACCGTATACAAATCGATTTCACCCAGTTCTTCTCTGTTTTTTTTCCCCGAGTCTCTTACATGCGCACATATTTTCTTTTACGGCCATCCGTTTCTGCTGTGTTCTGTTCTGTTCTGGCTGAAAGACCCATAAAACTATTGCCCCGTGGATGCGGGGAAATCTGCCTTGCAGAGCGGCAGAGCGGCAGAGCGGCCCAGCCCAACTGAAGTAAGCAGGATTTTCGGCCAGTCCAGGTGGTTGCGTGCAACATGCGCACCGTTGTCATAAAAGTTGCCACTTTATGGCTTACTTATGAAAAAAAAAGTGCCAACAACTGACAGGGGAAAGAACTGAACCGAAAGCGCTGAAAAGCGCACAACCTCGAGTCATTGCCATCTCGCGGCGGAAACAGACCTAATGATCAATTAGCTCGAATCGCGCTGCCGTTAGCTTCCGACTTGTCCACTGGGAGCGTCCAATCGCCGGTCGATGGATGGATGGATGGATTGGATTATGGGCCCGCGGAGCTGGCCATCTAATGCGCAACTATGCGTCACTGCAATTAACCCGGGCTCTAATTGGGGATGGTTAGCTGGGCATAAAATGTGTGTTTTAAGGCCCATTACGGATGGCTTCCTGTCGCAGGGAACTGCCTTCCACCGCCAATAGAAGCCCAATAGAAGCCGAGCCGAGCCGAGCAGTCGGAGCTGTCAGAAGTGGCCGTCGCATGATGATTGCGCAAGCGACACATAAGCGACTGCAACTCCCAGAGCCCAGATCCCAGATCCCAGCTCCCAGATCTCGACTCCGAACTCTCGGCTCAACTCCCAGATCCCCAAGCCACTGCCTTAATTGGAAATTGTTGCAGCAGAGGCATCCGCAGCAGCACCGTCAAGTGTTCTAGTTACGTGGCTGTCGTTTGCCTTCAATCTTTTGGCGCTCGGCGCTGCAATTGCATCACGCGAGGCAAGAAGTGAGTCGCGCTGCCAACTGCCAACTGCCAACGGGTTTGCTGCCATCTATCTCCTGCCTGCGCCTCCTTGGCTACTTTCTAAAGCCTTTCCCCGCCGCGCCAGCAGCCAAAGCTACACAGTAAATATTTACTATAACAATATAGTTTTAGGATTTGCTTGGGTAGTTATTCAAAACTCTACTCTGTGAAACTGCAATGGTTGCACCGTAAAGTAAGGCCCTCCAGACCTGCGATCTAGTTTTCCAACATTTGTTTTTCCAAGTGTACAGCTTCTCATCTCCTCTCAGCCCGGTTCACTTGGTTAGTGTGCGCAGTTTCCCCCTCGATTCTTTCTTTCGGTTTTCCCCCGTTTCAGTGTTTGTCTTTTTTGTTTAGCGCCCAGGTAACTGTTCGCAACTACAACAACCAACGGCAACTCGAGAGCGGCTGAATGCTGATGTTGCAGTTGGGAAACTGGTGCAAGCTTGCTGCTGCGTTTCAGCTCGGCTGTTGTTCTGCGGGGCTGCAGAACTGCTGCAAATTCGCAGTTAGTTCTACTGTTGTCCGCCGTCGAAGTTGTCGTCGTCGTTGTTTCTTTGGGCTTTGATTTTGCTGCTGCTGCTGCTGCCGCTGTGTATGACATTACTTGTTCGCTTTTTTCCCATTTTCCCATTTCCTCCCCGCTCCGAATTGGAAATTAACGTGCTACAACTGGGCTACAGGAGCCGAGCCAAGCAAAGCCGAACTACTGCAACAGTGAACAGCCCTTTGTTCTTAAAGTTTTTACAGAAATTAATTAAGTGCCTCGCTGCGAGCGGGGGATTTATCGAGGTTGTTAGGAAAGTTGCTGCTGCTTTCGCAGAGCTCTGCTGCTAGTTTTGTGTCACATGAGCCAAAAGTCTATAAATTTGCAAGAGCCATAAAATTAGCTCGTAAAGTTTTGTTTTTAGTACAGCCCCCATCCATGCACACATCCAAATACACACTCGCACACACATACCCCCATTTATAATGTCACTAATTAAAAAGGCGGATACAAACCTGAAGTAATTTGGAGGGGCATTATTTTATTGCTGAAGATGGGAATCAGCCGAGTAGATTTACGACCCTCGCCAGTGATTAGCGATATGAGAAGTGGGTAGCAGCCTTTAAAGTGTCTTGTCTTTGTGCTTAATGTGGCACCCGAACGAGCTGCCCCCCTCTTCCCCAACCAATTTCCCTCCAAGAGGCACCGTTTATGGCCATCAAAGAACCATTTATAATCGAAACAGTTTTGTCAAATTTCGATTGTTGGGGCCAGGCCAATCCTTTTGGCCGGGGACCGCTGACAGCTGCCGCTCATCGCTGATGGATGGGCGTTCTGCAGCTTTTGGTGGGACGACCGCGACTCGCGGCTTGGCTTTGCCGCGATTAGAGGCGCTGAAAGGGTTAACCAGCGAATGGGAAGGGGGATTGGGGGATTGGGGGATTGGGCTTTTATCAGCAATCTGTCAGTGGGGCAAACATCATCATCGCCATCCGCATTTGCGGCAGCTTCAAAGGCGGCGACATCTTCTGACTGACTGCGTGGTCGGTGTTTGCGTTGAATTTACAAATTACAACTAATTAAAAGTTGATGAGTCTGCGTGAGTGAAATCAAGCGGAGCCATCTCCCTCCCCCCCAGATGAGGAATTCCCCTGGCACTGATAAGCAAATGAGGAAGTCAGGAAAATTCCTTGAAAAATTGTATTTACTTTGTGTTCACTTTTCCCCACTCCGGCTATTTGCGCAAGTCATTCCGTGTCAGTCGAGCGTTCTGGTTGCCCGTGATGTCTGGCTGATTTTATCGGGGGAACTATGATGGGGCAGTTGGACGCATCCGCTGCACAACATTGTTGTACAGGAAATGTTTTTGTCCGAGGTGCAAACGAAAAATTCGCATGCAAAGTTACGTAGCTTATGCTACGTACGTAGCTATCAAACCAAATTCCCACTCACATCCTAAACTAATAAAAGAAATTTCCCTAAAATAAAAAAGCAATCTAGAGCTTCGGAAAGTTTGCCATAAAAATATTGCCAGAATAATTGCGCAAACATTTGCCATGGCAACTGCTAAGATTTCCATAGAAAAAATTCTTTTCGCTCCGCTCAAAGAGAAAAAGTAATTGCGCAAAATGAAAACATTTTTATGCCGATTTGTGTGGGAAAGAGCAGCGAAAAAATGATTATGACGTTGACAATGACAACGGCATCAGCAACAACGACAGCAACATCAGCAGTTAAAGTTGCTGTTGCAAGAACCACAATGCCGCAATTGACTTATCCGCACAGGGAGAAAATGTTAAAATTTGTATAATGGATTGCTTAGCACAAAAATTTAAGAACAATTTTGGATTTGATAGAAAAAAGCTGATCACTAGACAACATTCACAAGCTGCAATTTCATTTTCCAGAACACTGACAAAATTGTTTGAAGTAAAAGTGTTATTTACAGCGTAGTAACATCTTTTGAGGCACTATTATTCAATAATTACTACCGTGCTTAGCATATTTTTCAGTGCAGCCAGCCCACAGAACTTTTTTCCAGGCAGTGAATGAAATAGAAGAAAGAGCCAGACAGTTAGGTTATCGCCACTGCAGCTTCATAATTAAATATTGTCAACATGGAAGCTGGTTGCAAGTCGCTGCCGCAGATGTGCCGCTCCTTGTGGCCATGATTCAATTCCTGCAGCTGAGAACTGCGAGCGGCTTGATGGGCACCGCTTGGCCGACAACAGGAAGTGCGAAAACTATTAGTGGCACTTATTTATTCATTAGAGCCAGTTAGAGACACCCAGCTCGCTGTGTGCTCTAATTATGCAGATCGTTGGGGCCGAGGCTGCAGCAGCTGGCAAGGGAGGTGGGTATTCGGATGGGAATGGAGATGGAGATGAGGATGGGAATGGGGATGGGGATGGGGATGCATCAGGATGCAGGCACACGCTGCTCATTTCGCTATTTGCACATTTGCATAATGACGGCGGGATGTCAATGCACTGCGGCTCCGCTCGAGTTCAATGTGCGTGATGAGTTACACTCGTATGTGTGGCACATAGGCGTTCCCGCTGCTTACCTGCTTGAGATATCTTTATGGGGGCTTCAAACCCGAACTCGCCGCTGGAGTTTTTTGCCTCGCAATCACTGGCTTATCAGCACTCACAAATCAGAGCGGATGCCGAAATATTTATAGGGGGAACACACTTTATGGCTAGATGTTGATTGTATGCAAAAATGATATTTCGAGGGGGGAACCCTTGGCTCGGTTTTATTTTATTCCTCCGGCTTGCGCCACATGGGAGCGATTTCCGAGGAACGCCCGCTCGGAGGACACACACTCTTCACCAACAACACACACGCCGGGCAATAATAAAAGCGTAAATGCTTATTTATTTGCAAGTCGTTCGCAAATGCGCTCTTGTATAATTTATGAAGACCGCGCACACGACGTCGACAAGCTCCAAATGCGAAACAAGAAGACGAAGACCGAGCAGCCCGGGCCCGGCAACAAAAAAAGGCGAATCGAACTTTTATTTGGATATTCTTCCGTTGATGGGTTTTTGGAATCGGTCAAGGGACCGTCGTAAAAGGGCCCGTATGGGCCTGGAGTCACTTGATTAAATTGTCCGCTGGTCAGAGGTCAAAGTTGGCGGAGCAACTGCAGTCCATCAACCACAACTGCCGAGTGCAGTGCCCGAAAAACCGCTGGGCTCGCAGTTGGCCAACCGATCAAGCGCACAACCGACCGACAAAAGTCCGACAAACCGACGAAAACCGAGACCAAACGTGTGGCGACTCCCGATCCGAACCAAAATCCAGAGTTCCGCTGCAGCGTGCGATACGTGCGACGGTCCAACAGCAACTGCTTGGGAATCCGCTTGGAGCCGCGCTGCTGAGCCCCCGGGTGGAACCTGTTTTGCGTGGACCGCGAGTGTGGATGGTGTTGCTCCACGGAGTGGAGTAGGCGGCCACTTTTGGCGCCAACTTTGGAGAGTTTCGAATGCCGGCTGGCTGGAGAGAGAAAAAGAGAGAGAGCTGGGGCACGTGGGCAAATGGTTCCCAGTTAGGATGGGCTTAAAGCTAAATCTAAACATTAAAATATATTACAAGTATTTATTTTGGATAAAAGTTCTCAGTTGCTATGTTATAGGCACAAGCTTCACTTTTATTAGCTTTTAAAAGTCAATATTTTTTTTGGGCTTGTACTAAATATTAAGAACTATGCAAGTAATGTTTTCCAAGTAAATGAAAATATTTTTAAATTTTATTTTCCCCCTTTATCTGCACTTTCCTTTCCATGTGCATGTTACGAATGAGTGGAGCAAAACAAACCGCGGGATGTGTGTTGGAGAGTTGGAGAGCGCATGCGCACACTGGGAGCAAAAACTCTGGAAAGAGAGAGAGAGATTGGAGCAGCAGAGAGCAGTGAGGCCGGCGAAGACCACGAAAATAAACTCCACGAAATTGACAGGGGCGGCAGTTGGATTTGGATGAGTTCTTTTGGGGGGAAGAACACACCAGGGGAGGGGAAGGGGGTCGACTGGGGTTAGTCAGCATCTGCTTTGTATCTTGCACGCCGAGTGATAGCTAAAGATACATTCCGTCCCTCATCCACGGGCATTAAGTGCGCTTGTAGCTGTCTATCAGCAGAAATCACCCCATAGAACGCCGCTGATCCGCTGGAAAAGTTCTCCCCGGAGATCCGGGGAGCGCTCCTCATGCGTCTGCAATTTGCAAACCGCAAGTGGCCGGGACACTCAGGAATGCGCGTCCCCCACCAACGAGAGCCAGAAAGGCACAGCTCCAAGCACACACCCTGCCTATCGATCAGTGGTCATCGGCTGCGGAATTTCCAAGGAAATATTTATCTACGCTAATTTCCCAGCTAAACTTGGGCAAGTGCCCAGGAAACCGCATCATTGGCCGCCTGCAATTCGCCGCTCGCGTGCCAGTTTGTTGCAACATTGCAGCATTGCAGCATTGCAGCATCGGAGAACGCCTCCAACCTCGTCGACTTCCCATAGAAAAGTTTCGGCTGTCCACTTTTGTCCAGCGGCCAGAGATTCCTCCACCTCCTGCGAGGTCTTTGTGGCTCTGTGGCGTTTGGTTTATGGTTTATGCGCCGCCGTTTTTGGTCTATTAAAATGATTGCAGTATTTACGTAGCGCTTGCCAGCCATAATTTGTATTTGCTGTGCTCATCATCATCATCATTGGGCTGCGGCCCAGCCTCCTCCTCTGCGGTTTCTTGGCCTCCCTGCCCCCTTGGTTCCCCCAGCCCTCCGGCACTTGACCCTTCCTCGGAGTCTAAGCTCTTCTATTGTTTATCTGCACCGAGCCAGGCCCAAAACCAGTCTGGGCCCAGTTCCCAGTTCGCAGTTCCCAGTTCACAGTCTCCGTGGTGCGTTGCTGCGTTTCTGTTTCTGTTTCTGTTCGGTTTGTGGCCTTATCGCCCGTGGCGTCACTCTGGCGTACTTACCACGATTATTGATCGCTCAATACGAATTTGTGCTCCGCATGTTTATTTGTGCAGCTTAAAGATACTGCGACTCCTTCCTTGCATAAATATTTGTCACGTCGTGATCAATTACAGCTGGCAGAGCGGCTGAGCCGCAGATACGGAGTCGTTGACTCGCCGTGAAAGTTGGCCTGGGATCTAAAATAATAATATTTGTCTGCAGAGCCGGGCTTAAAACTTTCGGTTTCGGAGATGAGTGAGTGTGAGACTGGCTCCATTCAAGTGCCAGTTATTCGATCACCGCAGACATTAATGCACATTCTCAGGGCAAAAAGCGAAGAAGTAGCTGGCGGATTTCAAAGTCAATCGACACGCCCACCGAGGACATTGAACTGCGAGCTGGGTAACCGAAGGTGCACTCCAAAATATAATATTCAACACGTAAGCTAAGGGTTAGCAAAAGTCTTAAATCATTCATATTATCAAACCAAACACAATAAAAATATGTATACTTTGGTTTTAATCTCACCGGAGTTTATCATGGAAAAATTTGATCAGATTTGATTAGAGTACTAACCTTTTCTCTTTTCTTTCGGTGCAACATTAAATAACCAGTTTAGTGTGGCACATTTTTTGTGCGAACTTCCGCTTAGCAGGAACGCAACCAATTTTGACAGATTACAAGGCAGCGAGTCGGCCCGAAGGCATCTTTTTGGCTTTTTGGTAAGCCACCAGCCGAGAGCGAGGCAAGGAACCCTAATCAATGGCCTCAGTGCAGGCGATGCCATTGAACCACCGGCAATCGGCCCGAAAATGCAAACTGGCTCACCGAAATGGCCAGCAGCAGAAGCAGCAGCAGGAGCCGCCCTGCTGCTTTCAATTACGTGTGCTGGCTACCAAAAAAATTCAAGCAGAGCCAAACAAATTTATGGCCAGAACAGAACAGAGCAGAACAGAACAGAAAGGCTATGCTCAAGCTATGCATTTAAAACACAAAGTCCGCAGACGCTTGCCAACGATTAAGCACCGCAAATCAAAAGCCAGGCAAAAGTGCAAAAGGAAACCACGAGGAAACCCCAGAGAAATCCAACGCAAGCCCGCAAATGACAAATGTTTGCACTGAGAGTTTTGCCTGAAATGCAACAAGAAAGACCCAAAAAAGTGAAAAACCAGACGAAAACAACCATAAAGTGTTGAGTGCTGGCGGAAATCACTTGAAACCGAAAATAAATCAAAGGAAACAATAATGGAGCACCAGCAGAAACAAAGAAGCGGGGCCAAAATCGAAAAGGAAAAGCGGAAAATAGCGCTGCCAGCATCCGCTGCCCACGCAAACCCAATAAAAGCAGCGAGAATCTGCAGAAATAATAAAATAGGGGAAAAGCACCAGCTGAAACAGTAGTAAAAAGCCGAGCAGTAATAAACGAGCGCCGGGAATCAAATGCATGACACAAGTCCGCCAACTCGGACCACTTTCGCGATCTGAGGACAAGGACCCGTGTCCTTGTGAGCCGGCGACTCGTGTGATTTATGCTCCATTGTCCGGCGATGTCAACCTGCAAAGCGTCTGCGGCAGGTCTGGCCAGCCTTAATTGCTCTGGCGGTCAGCCACGCCCCCACGCCCTACTCCTGCCCCATGTCCCTGAATTACAGAGGCGACGACTATTACTCACCTCTTTGTACAGGAAAGATTCGATGTAAAAAACAAGGGGCGAGATAGGGTGTCACACCTGAAACGAGACTGCCATTCAATTCCGGGAATCGATACCAATATTTGTTGTACCTTTGTTAAATTAATAAGATTGTTTACTAGGTAAAATAATAAAATTGATTAATATGATACAAATATGATATACTATCTAAAATTGTATCATGCGAGGTTGAAACTAATCATCATTTTGGAGTTTTTATGGCTTTTGTTTTTTATATTAGCAACATATACAAACCCTGATCTGCCTCGATTACAGGTCATAATTAGAGAGCACTCCTCGGGCTTAATCTTCGGGCGGAGCGAAACGCTCGATTGCCATTTAAAGGATTATAATTTTTGCATTGCCGAAACTAAAAACTTCAGACGCAAACTTTGCAGACAGTTTTTGTGCCATTTAAACTCCCTTTTGGATCGGTTCGGAGTTTTTTTAAAAAGAGGTGAGCGGGGGGAAAGAAGGGAATGGCAGGACAAGGGGGATCCGTTTAGTTTTTATTCCGCCGTGCGGCGTTTGAATTCAAATGTGCTCTTAAATCGGCTTAGTTTTGCAAGCAGCTTTTATGTTCCAGGCGGCTTAAATTAATGCGCCAGCAGGGACTTCGTTCAAACAAAACAAAAAGCATTGGCGCACACTAAAATGAAGAATGGAGAAAGGGAGTGGTGGCAGCATCGCGGGTTTGAGTCTTCACGGAAAGGTGATTAAATAGTTGAACGGATTTTCTGCATTTATATGGCCGGTGAGTGAGTTTAATTGATTTCAAGTTGCCCAGCTACCAGCTAATAGCCACCAGTACCAGCTACTGCTGTTTACCTTCTCCGAGTGCCATAAACACTGGACAGCCATTGAGTTGGCTCTATCTAATCAACACCACTTTCACGCCCACTTTCAGTAAAAATCACTGCTAAGTGTTGTGAAAATGAGATTGTAAACATTTTTAATTTGCCTTGTTAGTGCTGAGATTGTTGTAAGGCGATTGGTCGAATACCCTCACTATCAGCTATGGGAAAGTCGTGTGGTTTATGGGCCTCGTTGAGGGTTATCTGCCAGCCAGAAAATAAATTCTGATACAATATGTATAGATTACAGGCCATAAAGTTCCAATCTTTATTGCCCAATTATTGATCTCACTATTAAATTGCTCAATGGGAAAGCTTTTGTTACAATAATTGTTTCCAAAAACATATACTGCGTTTTACATCTTGAAAAAAAATCTATTCATTCAGTATATGTGATAGTGTATATAGTAATTTTCTTAACATAATAGCACAAATATCTTTTCGTGAAATTAGTAGCAATTCTTATTAGCAAAGAGGAGTGTATTCAATGGTTCCTTTATCGAACAGCAAATGTTATAAATTAAATTTTCACCAGACTAGATGGACGGGTAAACACTTGATACAGCCATCCATTTGCCAGCTAAAGAGTACAATCTGCCGCGATTTTCCAACTACCTACGAAGTTACGGGCCTGCTGCACGTGGCACGTGCCTCCTCGTGATTCAGGAACTATCCGACTGCCAACGACCCTCTGGATGCAGACCGGGGGAATCGGAAGATGGGGTGTGGATGCTTCAGCAGTCGCAGCCATGCGTAATGCACTCCGGCGTAGTTTTGTTTGTGCGTCTCTGTTTTGTAGTCATAAATTTTTATGGGCCTCGTGAAGCGAACAGCAGGAGGCGGTCTTGTTCCTGGTAAAAGTGGACGAACGGTTGATTAAAGTGCTGATGAGGGCTGGAGAACTACGCCTTGAGATGCACACACACATAACTTTCCACAGAGCCTCTTCTGATTCAATACTATTCTATATCCCAGAGTCAAAAAACGCATTTTTGGAATACAATGCATAATATATTTGTTAAATGCTCTAATCAGAACAAAACAGTTTTCAATAAATGGATCTGTTGCCAACCAGTTAAAGTGTTCGGGTGACTGTTGACAAAAGTGCTCGGCGACATCCGTTGGATAGCAGGGGCTAATCAAATCTGATCTCGCCGAATTGCAGAAATATCTGTGCCGAAAATAGACCGCCAGCGAACCGCTTCTGATGACGGGTCATCATCAATTATGCGATTGGCTCTTTACCTGAAGTGCGACAGCGTATATCTTTGGGAGTATAAATAAGACCGACCGCCGACAATCGCTGGCGTTCTCGCCGGGCCACTTAATCAAAGTCCGGAGACATGAGCAAACATTTAGCCCGTACTCTCCGGCGGAGTGATAACCGCAATTAACGGCATTACACGGCAGGTGGGGGAAAAGCCGGCCACTTACAGGCGATTTTGGCCGGCAGCGATAAGGCCGAGAGCCACCCAACAATAATTGCCCGAACAAGCTGTCATGAGTGGCGAAGAATTAAAAGCCGCTCGCAATTAAAATAAATAAGTTAGTAATAGATATTACGTAGAACGAAGCGCTCCCCGAAGAGCCGAACCCGAAGCCAAAACCACCGACATCAGATATTCCGCTACTGGTTAACCGGACAGGCGTTTCGCCAACTTTTGGCCAAAAGTTAAATAGTTGATCGAGAAGGGGCCAAGCGGATGGCCGTGAAAACGCAGCGCGCGAAAAGAAAATAGCAAATAGCAAATCGTCGCGAACTCGCCGCCCTCCTGGGAAATTACTAATTGAGTCCCGTGATTCTGAAAAAACTAGTTGTGAAATATGAAACAGCGGAAAATAGACATTCGTGGAATTTTCGTACTCCTCAGCTGCTTGGGATTATCAACTGGATTTGGGGTGGACCTAAGTGATCTTCAGCAGGACTTGGGTAGGTCCTTGGGTCCTTATAATTTTTTTTAGATTTATTTCTAATGTTGGAACGGTTTTGTTAAGAAAAAATAATATACTTTGTTTTAACCAAACTTATCACATTATAAGTAATTTATTAGAAGAAATTTTAAATTTTAGTCAGAATTATAAATTTAATTTCAAAATTTAGTTGTTCTCATTTAGGGTAGGAATAGTGATTGGAAAACAAAAGAGATTCGATGACTTTCGTAAAAGTGATTTGCCTGTTTTGCACATTTTCAGTATATTGACATGTTACATTTGCAAATATAATTCACTTAATTTTGCCTTATCGCAGTTAGACAACGTTGATGTTAACTTTGTCCAGATTATTGTGAAATATCGAAAAAATTATCTGCACTTAAAAAACGTATCAATCAAGTGCAAAAATAGTCTGGCGATTTCAACAGCTCGTGTCATCTGCAAATGTCTATGTCCTTTTAATTCTAGTTAAAGTTCAGAGGGTAATTTTCCTAAAATTAAATGTTTGTAATTTATCGCTTTTACCAGCTGCCAATGGATCTGTTGTGCTGGCCCCGCTGAACAGCTCGGACGCCTACAGCGTGTCCATAAACCTGTCGCAGTCGACCGTGAACAACTGTCCTTCGCTGGAGAACGCGGCTTCGATGACGCAGATGGAGCTGCTCACCCGGCTGACTGCCAACTGCCGCTACGACAGGATGGTGCCGCCCACAGTGTTCAACGCGGACGGCGAGGAGGTGGCCATGGACATCTACGCGCGGTTCTACATCTACGTGATGAAGAACCTGGACTCGACCGACCTGCAGTTCATGGTGCAGGGTCTGCTGCAGCTGCGCTACAAGGACCCCCGGCTGGCCTTTGCCGACTACCTGCCCGGTCGGAGGCAGCCGATCATGGGCGAGGCGGGCATCAAGAAGCTGCTCTGGGTGCCCCACATCTTCATCAGCAACGAGCAGGCGTCGAACGTGCTGGGCACCAGCGCCAAGGACGAGCTGACCACCGTCTACCCGGACGGCACGGTCCTGATCTCCACGCGGCTGCAGGCCACCCTCTACTGCTGGATGAACTACCAGAAGTTCCCCTTCGACGAGCAGAAGTGCACCACCATGCTGGAGAGCTGGATGTACAACACCTCGCTGGTGGAGCTGCACTGGGAGACGGACCACCCCGTGAGCTTCGACGAGCAGCTCCAGCTGACGGAGTACAACCTGATCGGCTCGCTCTACAACGAGTCCATCAGGGTGTCGAACGGGTCGGTGATGACCCACGGCTCCCTGGAGGGCAACTACAGCGTCATCAGCTTCACCGTGCTGCTGACCAGGGAGGTGGGCTACTACGTCATCGACTACTTCCTGCCCTCGATCATGATCGTGACCATCTCGTGGGTGTCCTTCTGGCTGCAGGCGGACCAGACGCCCGCGCGCACCACCCTCGGCTGCACCACCCTGCTGTCGTTCATCACGCTCTCGCTGTCGCAGGAGAACGACCTCATGAAGGTCAGCTACGTGACCATGTCGGAGGTGTGGTTCCTCGTCTGCACCATCTTCATCTTCGGCAGCCTGGTGGAGTTCGCCTTCGTGAACACCATCTGGCGGCGGAACAACGACCTGCAGCTCAAGAAGCGCACCACCAAGTACATCGTGAAGTCCACCTTCGTCCCGAACCTGAAGAAGCACCGCCGGCACGGCTACCGGCGCACGGACAGCACCATGAGCACCATGAGCACCACCAGCCTGGACAAGTCCTGCGGGCCCAACAACACGGTGATCACCATCGAGACGCCCATCATCATCGGGGGCAGCCTCAGCCGCGAGGACTCGGCCATCAGCCTGGACGAGCAGGACGAGAGCTCCAGCTCCTCGTCGTCGTCGGGCGACTCCCCCAAGGAGAAGCCCGCCCAGACCTTCGCCACGATGACGCCCAAGGAGGTCTCCCTGTGGATCGACCGCAAGATGCGGTTCGTCTTCCCGCTGTCCTTCGTCGTCTTCAACGCCCTGTTCTGGACCCTGGTGTACTGCCTCTGAGGAGTTCCCCCGGCGGAGAGAAAGCCATTCTGTGATCCCGGAGCCCCCACCCGTCGCCTCACTAGCCCTAGTTCCCAGGGCGCGATGACACTTGCTTGAGGTTCGGCCGAGTCACCTACCACCAGTAGTAGTTTTTGCAATAAAGGTTTTTTAGCTGCGAACTGCGATCATTTTTAATGACCCCCTCCTCGAACTTGGAGCAAGTGTCGTTCGCCCTGGTCCACAAATCCCCGACAGGTGACGGAGCTCCCCCATTGGGCCGGGCCCGCGTGCTATGTAGTCCGTATTTGTTCTAATAAATTATATGTTTTGATACCACACCTCCCCCGACTCCGACTTGGGCACGTACAGATCTGATAAATACGCTCCTATTAGCGGCGGGCAGGCCATAAAACCCGGCCGATGATGGGGCAGTCAGGAGTTGCGTTTGTATCAATGAAAAAATCATAATGCCAGCACGCCCCACTGCAGCAGCTCGGTTCCTAATTAATTGCCCGTGGTGATGGGACTGTTGAAAGTCTAGCGGTGGCGGCTCCTCCGCGGAGTCCGCAGAGCCACAGCTTTTTCAGCGTTTTCAGCGAGCGGCTGCTCCGATAAATTAACGGCTCATGCAGCACGTAAATTGATTTTAAATTGCCTTATAAATGAACTCCAATTCGCCGGGCAATAAACAATGTGGTATTGCGATCCCGGCTAGATGCCGAATAATTTCGCTGCTCGTCGGCGAGAGTGGGAATTAATTTCCAGTGTCCATAACTTAGATCGATCCCAGGCAGGCTGCCGCTGCATTGCTATGCAAAGCCGCTATCTGGCCATCAATCTCGGCTCTTTCGATCCCGAACTCGTTTCGGACCTACTCCGCCGCGAGGTGTACATAATGAGATGTAATCTGTCAAAATTAAGTGTATCGACGGACCTCTGGCCACTCAGCCTCTTCCCTTTCTTGGAGGAGGTGGCAAGCCGAAACTTTTGAGGCGCAGAGAGTTTGTTGAACCCGCAGCGAGGGCCGCTCGGTGCGTTCCACCGCCGGATGTTCCCATGTCACTCGGTAAGCCTGCCGCATGATAGATGCCCGAACAGCTGTCCGCGGGTACTTATCAATCGGCTCCCGAATCGACGGGGCTGTAAACCCAAGCACCAGGCACCCGGCAGGCTCGACTCCCTCAACAGCACTTTTCTTTATCGATTGGGCGCACAATGGGTCAGCCGGAGTTCATTTACACGTTTACACGCTTGCTTGTTTATTTGCTTAGCTCGACTTCCGAATCCCCAGTCCGGGAAACACACAAACCGAATCCGAATCCGAGGGAGCGCGGGAACCGCTGGCCCTCGCAAATGAGCTGCATAATAAGCGAGTGCTCCAGTCCGATTGTTTCCTTTTCTCCCCCGGCCCCTCTTTTTGCACATGAGAATTACAGACATTTTCATTTATTATTATGAGGTCCGGCCGTGTAATTTGCAACTTGCGACCGCTCGGGGCTCCCACCCGCCGACCCGCGTTCCTCAACCATGAAGTTGCATGTAAGTGCCACCGACTCCGACTCCGACTCCGACTCAACCGCAAGCGGGAAAAACTACACATAAGTGGGTAAATTAATAAACAAACGAACAAAGAACCACCGCGAAAGACACAATTATTATAATGCGTTACTTAGACTCTGAGCTGGGGTTCCCATCATGCGATGGGTTCTGCAGGAATTGGGGATTGGGAAGTGCTGCGAGTTGAAGACAAGAATACAAATGGTCGTTGAGTAGTTGCTAGAAATATTTCTCTGTTTATTTTAGAAAGGTTATCGATATAAACGGATATAGAGTAACAAAATACATATACAAATTATCAAGAAAATAATTGCTAGGGATGCATCTATCTGTTAAGTACCTCGCTTACTTTTAATCCAGGAAAATAAATGACACAACATCTTGTTTACAACCCAAATACAAACAGGCAATTTGTCTTCCAGAAGCGCTTCTTCATGAACTACTTATTTTCGGAGGGCATTACGAAGTCGTGGTCCAGATCGCTCCCCAAGTAAACACTCATTGCATTAGTCGGTTTATTTTTAGATGGTGGGAAAAATTCTATTTCGAGTCGCATTCGGAGCGCCCAACTTCGGATCTCGCCTATCTGAACACAGAATCTGAAACAGAAACGGCGACCGCGAGACAAGGGGAGCAGTCTTATTGTTGTTGGTTTTGCCAGCCGATTTCTGTGCTGTGCTGTTTGAAGCCTGTCTTTCGGCCAGCCGTCTGGGCCTGGTTCGCTACGAGGTTCCATTTCCAGTCCAGTCACGCTCGGTGGGCGCTGGTTCAGAAGTCAAGTACGAGCCATTGCCGTCCACTTGGCCAAAGCGTGCGAATGAGCCCAAACCCCAACCCAAACCCGAACCCAAGCTGAAACCCAAACTCAAACTCAAACCCAAAAGACCCGAGAGCTGGCAATCGATTTTATGACTAATAGATGCCTTAAATAACTGGCCAATAGCGGCTAATTTGGCCAAAGCCGTGTGCAAATTTAATGCACATCATGGCGGGCATTAGCATAAGCCTTCGCCCAGCGGATTAAGTTGCCAGTCTGGACAAACCGCATGGCTAATGAGAATGCAGCAGCTTCCAGCTTCCAACTTCGAGCTGCGAGCTCCGAGTCTGGTCTCCAATCCCCCGATTCGGGTCCACGTCCAGGTTCTGGGTCTTGGCTGCCTGCATTAGGTATTTGCTCGTACGTGCAGCATGCCACAACCTATTAACAAATTGCAAACAAAACTGGCGACCGCACAGTAGCCGCCCCTTCTGGAGGACCGCATCCCATCCCAGCCGAGGAGCCCCAGAAGTGGGCGTGCATTCGAAATTATGGTGCTAATAAGGAGCTGCCTTGGCGGCTAATTTAATGGAATGCAAACGCAGTGGATGTGCGTGGATGCATCTCGCAGATCCCAACTGGGTTCGCTGCCTTGACCCACGGTGATCTCCCCGCGAACTCGACGATGGCGCCGGGCGATTAGGTGGCGTGCAACCGCGGCAGGCAAAGCAGCACCACCGGTGGCGCCTGTGCACCACCACACGGCACAGATTCGAATCATTCACTTGGCTTGAGCCTTGAATCGCCAGAGGCCCCAACGTTTTGCACGTTTTTCCAATGAAGCCGCTAAACTGGCGCCCCTCCTGCGGTCATAATTAATGAAAATTGCAAGGCCACAAGGAAAAAAGCTGGGAGAAGGAGAGTAACTAATTTAATTGCATGATACTCTGGCCGTTTTATTTCGAATTGCCCAAAGAATTACTTTATTTAACTGTTAAAATACAACTTTACAAAGTGATCACCGGTTTTCCACTACGCTTTTCTCTCCATGTAAATGCAACTGGTTTTTCCCCCTCTCGCCACGCCCTTAAGCCCACGATCGATCGCTGAACTGGCCATTTCCTTGGGTTATACCTTTGCAGGTAGCCATGTGACGACCCCAGTTATTAATTAGTATCTGCTTATCGCCGGGCACTCGACTCGTACATTTGTCATAGATACGTGTACCAAACAAAGGCATCCGCGTTTCATGGCGGGGGAGTGCCCCACGAAAATGGAGCCGGCGACGTTAACGCGCTCTGATCTTATCGGAAATGTTTTGCTCGCTGTGTGACACTATCTTAAATGGAACTGAGTCGGCCGAGTTGCGGGCTGGCCAACTTTGGCCGGATGATGTGCTGGCGCTCATCCGCAATTTATGGACCGGTGCCCAGGGTTCGGACCCCAGCCCTTCTAATTCAAGGTTGGCTCTAATTAAGCACGATATCGGTAGTCTAAGTGCAGCAGCCTGGCGCCACCAAAGTCGCAGTGGAGCTCTCTCTCGGCCACGTTGTCAATTGGAAGGGCAATCAAGAAAGGCATCAACCTGTCGTGATTATCGCGCCAAGTGCGCTAACAGCCACCGAAAACTGTTCCAGAGACAAACAAGCATGACTGGGACTGTCTGGGCAGTAAATCATGTACAGCTTCTCCAAATATTACGCCTATTGCGAAATTCAGGGAATTCATGTTCAGCTCCGTTTTTAAAACAACAGCCTACAAATCCCTTGAGACAACGCTAAACCGATTTTAAATATTACTAGCAGGGTTAACCTAAGTCCCTCTTCAACATACGCAATGCGTTTTAATGTACAAATTTAAATTGTGCAAATAGCAAGCTGAAAACTACTGGTCATCATACTTGTGATAACACAAGGTCACTCTTTAAAGTGATGTCCTCGTTACTTCTCTTCAAATCACTCTATGAATCTTTCATTTAACGAGAGCAGCTACTGAAAAGATTTCTATTTAATTTGCGACTCATTTGTGAATGATTCAGACTCTCCGGCAAGTCTGGTCGCAGATAAAGCTTCTTCTGGCTTTGTGGCAGTGAGTTTCGGGGCTCCTTTGAGACAAGCGGGGTGCAGAAAACGAACTTCTGCAGCTCGCAACTTGGCCATTACTCCGCCAAAAGATATTCGACACACACGCGCTCACAAAGCCAGGAACGCGGGCCAGAAGGCAACATGGAAAAAATTAGTTAAAAGATAAACATGGCAGAGCCAAAGAGCAGGGCCAAGATGAAATGGCAAGGGCACTGGGGGGACTGCTGGCTGTCGTGCTGCTCCTGGCTTTGTCTTGGTTATGTGGGTTCAGAGGGAGCTGCAAGAGCAGCAGGAGCTGCAGCCAAAATAAGATACTGCATATACGTTCTGGCAACTTTGTTGCCGCATCTCGTTGGCCAAAGTCGAATCGCGAAGCCCCACAATGGCCGGGCCAAAATAATTGCCAAAAGGCGCACTTTAAATATGGCAGAATAACAAAGCGAACGCACATTGCTGAAGATGCATGGCCGCAGCTAATTAAATACAAACACGTGCCCCCATAACTCAAACCCAAAGCTCGGACGCCACTGGTTCCCCTTCTTGCGTCATAAAAACACTTCTTCGAGGGGCGGGGGGCACCTTCTTCGGCAGAAAGACGCAGCTTTGTCCGCAGGTCGCGCAACACACTTAAAGTGCCCTGTGTCGTCTTCCGTTTTTAATTAAATTCATAAATCAGCACCAACTCGGAGCAATGTCTGGACGAGTTCCACAGAAATCCAGAGGCACTCTTGAGGAGAGATCCATGCCAAGTGTGAAATTTAAACATTGGCATGCACTGCATATTATAAGAATACTTTAAGCGTATTCATAGTCAGCTAATTCATTAGTAGCTTATTCTTATTTACTTGATCTATTAAATTCTCCATTAGTTTTCTCCCTGTGCAGCCTCAAAAACAACTTTACGCGAGAGTCCGGGAACTTGAGC